TATATATATATATATATATATATATAAGTAGAAAATATAATAAAGACAATAATTTTCAAATATCCAACTTCTATGATGCCTTGCTATTGAAAAGTAAACTATAACCCTTTTTTGAATTCACATAGTAGGCTTGAGGAAACGAGATTGTGTTATAGCAACTCTATTGTTTATGCATTCATCATCTCCCCTGTATTTTCATCTTATTCTCTATTTGTCGGGAAATGGATAAAAAATTGCTATTAAACGATACAACTTCTTTATTTACTGATTGATTAGGTAAAGTGAGGTCATTTTAGTGTAAATAAAAGTTTATTTAATAATACAAATTTATTGATCTAAGCAATTCAACTAGACCTATCAGCCGTTTTAAGAGCGAGAAGATTAATTTAGATATAAAAACGTCAAAGCATTCCTTACAAAAAAAATAATACCAATGCGAGTTACTAAAAATGGGCAAAAAATAGTGAATCATCAACCAGAGTGTATAAATTTTTCCCTGTATAAGTTTCTCTAGGAAGTGGAGTGTTTCTCTAAATGCATTTTCTTCTATTTCAAAATGAAGACGTTTATTTTCCTCTATTTTTCCCCAAAACAAATGCACCCTTTTCTTCAAAATAATGTAAAACCCAACCCCCAAAATCCTCCGATGATCTACATCACCAGCATCCTTGCGCCTGATCCTAACAACGAGAAGTGGCAGCAAAGCCCCCATTCGAGCGCCTCCCCTTTGGAGATGACGGAAACCCCATCCTCAAGAGGATACGCCGCGCCGTAGACGGGCAACGACGTCAACGACGACATCAGCAGCTTCCCATCCAACCCCACCGCCGGCAGCTCCGCGCACGGCGCCAGGCACTCCACCGCAGACGAATGCGGGGAGTAATTTGCGAGCACCGGTTGCACCTTCCCGACGAGCCCTTCGAGGGTGGTGTTGCCCTTCGCGAACTCCCGCGCCCGCGCGAAGGCGGGGTTGAGGAGCCGTGGAAAGCGATACACCTTCACTCCCATTAGTGATGCGAGGAGAAACGCGAGGGCGAGAAAACGCCGGTGATCCGCACCCTGCGTGGTCACCTCGCCCGCTCGATTAGGCGGGATCGCGACGTAACCGGTGACGTTAAACGCCTGCTTGAGGTAAAAGTTCGCGTCGGCGCCGTTGATATCGCGCAACGCCACCTCCAGGAGGTTTTCCAGGAAACCGCAGATGCTCTGGAGGATGTGCGGTGCCGTGGCGAGGTCGCCCCCTTGCAACACCATCGCCGCGATTTGATTCTGCGAGCTGAGGCCGTCGTTCGCGTGTTTCTGCTGAATCACGGCGGGGTCGAGAGGCAGCTGTAACGCCTCACATCGCACCCGAAGTTGCTCCCGGAAGGCTTTCAAAGCCTCCGAAGGGGTCTCCCCGCCTCCTCCTTTCGTCGGGTTTGTTTTTCTCCCCTGGACGTCCTGAAAGAGGGCGAAAAGGGTGGCGAGGGGGTGATGCGGGTTGGAGTGGCGCGCGGCGAGGAGGAGGGCGAGCTCCCACGCCCCGCCCCGCGCCGCCCGCAGCGTCGCCGCGAGCGAAATCGCGTCGATCGTCGCCTGCTCGCGAAGCGGGAGGAGCGGCAGCAACGCGTGCGCGAGGCCGACCTCGCCGGCGTGGAGAAGCGCCCGGATCGCCTCATCGGAGGCGCCACTCGCGAGGTGGAGGGCGGCGAGGATGCGAGGGTTTCGCCCGCGCAACAAAGCCCCCATTCGCTGCTGTTGAACGACCTGAGAGGCGGGGCTAGCGCCTTGGAGGTCGACTCCCCCTCGTCGTGCGGGTTCCGTCGCGGTAAAAAGCCCCGTCGGATGCGGCCCCTCCCCAGGAGAAGGGGTGGAATCCCGCTGCGGGCAGCTTCGCGCGATCGCCACCGCCTCATCGTAGACGGTTCCCCCACCACGTAGGCGGGTGAGCGTCTGCGCGGCGCGCGCGCTTTCCTCGGCGAGAATGGCATACATCACCGCACGGGCATCCCCCGCGGCCTCCATCGCGGCCGTCGCTTTGAGGCAGACCCCTCGCCAGAACTCCCGGCTGATCATCGGCGCGATCGCCAGCGCCGGATCCCAGGCCTCCGCCTCCATAAACGCATTACAGGCGTCCTCGAATTGGCCTACTTTGAGCAGCTCCTTCGCGGATTCCATCAGTCGTTTCTGGCGGTAGGCCGGTCCTAACGCGGCGACGGTTTTTCCCCGCGCCTTATCGTGCATCTGCTTCGCGCGTGCTTTTTGGGCGTCGAGGATTTTCGCGACGGGGAGGATGGCGGCTTTGGGATCCGCCACGTAGCTGGACGGGTCTTTCGCGTAGGCGGCGAGCTGCAACAGGTCCGAGCACCCCTGCGGGAATTCGAAGAACCCCAAAAGTTTCCCACTCCGATCCACCGGATTGTTCGCCGCTTGGGCGAGTTCTTTCGTTAAATTTTGCACGGCATACCCGGCGACGGGAAGCCCCTTGGGGGTGGGCTCGCTCGACATCAACGCGGCGGCATCCCCCCCTCCTAACGACTCCACCCCCTCCACCGCCGCGCGAAGACTCACCGGGGAAAGCAACGCCACCCACCACCCCACCATCGCCCCATCCCGCGAGGCGGAGAAGCACACCAGCGGCCGCTCCGGATGACTCGCGATCGCGACCACCCCCGCCGCGTGGCGACGAACCCGCGCGAGGCTCCGCCCCTCCCCTCGGATATCCCACAACCCCACCGTGCGGTCGTCCGATCCGGAAAAGGCGAGGTACGGCGCGAGGCCACACCACCCCACACCGCCAACCCCTTCCCCATGCCCACGCAGCACCCGGGATTTCACGCAAATCGCGTGGGAATCACTCGAGGAGAGATCCCACACCCGCAGGGTCGCGTCCTGCCCCCCCGAGAGCAAAAACGACGCCGCCGAGGGGTGGAAGGCGAGGTCGCGGACCGCCTCGACATGGCCGGAAAGCGTCAGCATCGGTTTCTCGTTCGGGGAAAGAAGGTTGAAGAGGTAAATATTCCCATCCGCGCAGCCCATCGCGAGGGTTTTGCCCTTGGTGGGTTCCACATCGGAGCTTCGGATCCCCGCCCCGCCGGGCGCACTCAACCGATGCAGGACCTGGCCATTCTTCGCAGATAAGAGCGCCACCCCGGTGCTTGAGGTGCAAACCACCAAACTCGTCGACTCCGCCGAGGCGGGAAGCCAAAGAACCCGACAAACTGCCCCGACGGAAACGGGCGTTCGCCACCCCTGGCGTTGCGTACTACAGGTAAAATGCACCACCTCGCCATTACTGAGCCCGGCGACGAGGTACTTTCCATTTGGCGACCAATCCACCGCGTGCACGGCGACCTGGCCACTCACCTCGATTCGATACTGCAGCGTCATCGTTCGCGTATTCCACACCCGAATCTCCCCTTCCACCCCGGTGGAGGCAATGAGATCACGATCATGGCGTGAGCACCGGCAGGCGAGCACCGTCTGTGTGTTTCCCCCTTCCGTTTGAAACTCATATTGCCGCTGGAGGAGGTTATACACCGCCACGGTGCCGTTGGTGAAGCCGAGGGAAACGTGATCACCGTCAAGGCTCGCGATGCCTTTGATCCCAAGCGAAGCATCCAGCGGGATAATCGTGGAGGCCGTTTTCGCACCCACCTGCCATTTGTGCATGAGATTACTTCCACGATTCACCGTGAAAAAGGTTCCCGCTTTCCCCGGCACCCACGCGATCGCGCTCACGCTTTCCTTGTGTTCAAACACCAGGGTCGGCCCTTTAGGGTTGCTGATATCACACAAAGCGAGACCGCCCTCCCGAGAGCCGACCACGAGCTGGTTGACGGCCCCTACATCAAAGGCAATGACGGAAACCGGGAGGGGGTTCGGCGTGAGAAGGCTGTCTTTTTCCTTATTAGGGGGCGAAAAAGGGAAGAAAGAGGCCGTCGGGGTAAGCCCCGCCGTCGCGCTCAGCGTGAGAAAACAAAGCGTTCCATCCGACGTCCCACACGCAACGAGATCCGCGCGAACGGGTGAAACGGCCACGCACTCCACACTTTCAGCAGCTTCCCTTTGCCCACTACCTGACACCCCGAGGTTAGGTGAGTCGAAGCTATTTCCTATGGGCTTCCCATAAAGGTCGGTGGGAGCCTTGAGAGAAGGGGTGGGCGTGGGAACCACCACAAAGCGTGGCTCCGCCGGGGTTTTGTCGGATGCGCTCGTATTCAACGAAACAAGCCGACCAGTGGAGGTACCAAAAATCAAGTGATTCTTTCCAGCGACGCACAGCGTGGTGGGCTTCCCTGACCTCTGAAAAAGGTTACCAAGCGAGGCGGGGATCTTTTCGTCAGTGATGCACTCACCATTGGATAGCCTCCAGACCGTCACACAGGGCTTCTGCGCGGTCAGACAGGCCATAAAATCCTCGTTGTAATCGTAGGATATTATCTCCGACGGCGAGCCACTACCGAAAAGGGATACAATACGATATTCTGGAACACTAGACCCTGTGGGATTGGTGTCGCCGACATTGGGCAAGACTCTGGAATCAATTTGGTATAATAAAATACTATGTATAGAAGCAAACGCGAAAAGATTAGATTTTGAAACAAGACTTCGCGAGCATTGTGAGCTGCAGCCTGGCGGAACAAAAGCAACTGGTGTAAGTGGCATCGGTTCTCTAATTCGTCAACTCAAAACAAACGATTCTTTATTATTTATGAAGATATGTCGCGGAAAGAACTTAGGTTATGATATGAGGACTATATGAAATAAAACAACGGAATACTATGATTATTGACTTCTATTTGTTAAGTGACGTCCAAAACCCTTAACGTACTGTAAGAGAAATTTTCAAATGAGACAAAAATAGCACAAGCTTCCAGTGATGACCCACTCTTCATTGGTTGTTCTCCTTTTACAACAGGAAAAGCACCTCCAGCATAGTATGATATATGCGCATAGTTTTATGGCTCGTTTTCTTTGCCATAACTCCTCTTTGGATTTTTTTGACATCCACAGCACCGAAGTCCATAGGTATCCTTTTTTCCCTTGGGCGGTAAAGCTTAAGAGCAAGGAAAAAAACGAAAATCATGCATATAAATTCGTAGATCTCTTTCTTTCTCACCTCAATTTTTTTCTCCACAGAATCATGGGGTCGAATAAGACAAAGTCTTGTTGAGTTCCACCAACTTCTGCCCCGCCTCTACACACCACTGAACGTTCTCCAGAAGGTTTCTCATGCCCAAGGTCCAGATCGCATCCGAGACACTGCCGTACCGAACGGAGAGACCGCCGACGTGGTCGCCGCGGATGACGTGGGGGGGCTTCATGGCCGCATCCAACCACCCGCCACAGGCCATCCCCGCGACCCTTTCCCCATCCTCTCCTCCCGTGAGCCCCGCCCCTTCCGCATGCGACACGGTCTCCGCGCGGACAACGGAGGGCCCAACCTCGGCTCTGATCCCAGGCTTCATCCCAGTCTCGGCCTTCGCCTTAGTCTCAGTCTGAGACTCCGTCCCAGCCCTTGCCTCAGTCCCAATCTCAGCTTTCGTATCAGCCTCCACCTTAGCCCCCATCTCCGTCCCAGCCTGAGTCACAGTCACAGCTTCAGCTTCGGCTCTGGCCTCCGTCCCAACCTCGTTCAGACCGGCCAGGACGGAGCCCAGCGTCAACGGCGCGAAGGTTGGCAGCGGGACGCCCGCAGAGGAGCCCTCTGGGGAGGGGAAAGGGGCCCCTCCACCCCCCTCTCCCCCTCCCCCTCCCGCAGCCGCGGTGGCCCCGCTCACGTCCAGCTGGTAGCGCCGCCGCCAGCACTGCAGGCCAAACCGGACGACCTCGCACAGCTCCTGCACACACGCGGCCACCACCCCACACGCCTCGCCGTAGGTTTTCCACGCGAAGAACCGTTCGTTGATGAAAAAGTCCAGCACACGCGACACCTTCGGGGGTGTTGGCGAGGTCGGCGTCGCCAGCGTTTTGGTGGCGGTAGGAGGTACCTCGAGAAGGTCAACGGTGCTACGTTCCCCATATGGGTTCAAACGCGCAACACGAAACACGTGTTGGTGTGCATCCGCTAGATGACAGAGAAGTTGAGCGAGAAATCCGCTCGCGGTGTTGATTTCGGCAACCGACACCCTTTGACGCTCCCCCGCAGGTGTGGAAGATGGAGATGTCTCCACGGGAGACAATCGAATCGTAGCCCCCTCAGACAGCGCGAACCCACCCCTTCCAAGCATCCCACTCTTCTTTTGATTCGACACTGCGTTCTCGACGGTCGTCGTATAGAGCTTATGCGAAAAGGAAGAGAAACCACTAAGAAGCGTTTGTGCATAGATGTGTTGCCGACAGACGCCCTCCTGAAACCACGACATTATTCGTTGTGCTGACTCTGGCGATAAATTTTCGACGACCGTATCGTCGCCAGGCATGCCCTTCTCTTTATCCTTGCGCGCGAAATCTTTAACTGGGGATGTCATCACCAACCCTAACCGCAGCCCAGCGATAGTTGCAATGGGTTCATTCACTTGTATAGGAAAGGCTAGGGCCGCGATTGAACTCGACTCCAGGTAAGCTAAATTTCGTTTCAAATCCTGTATCTCCTTTTCACGACTGAGCGCACTATCACGCGCTATTCGCTGCGTGGCTTGAAACTCATTTTCACGCATCGCAAGCTGTTTCCAGCGCTCTTGATAGAGTTCATCCTCTCGATCCAGGGCATGTAAGATGCCCTCCAGCTCCCGGATCTCTTTTTGCGCCAACGCATAACGCTCTTGGGTCTGCTGAAGTTCAGCTGCCAGCTGCGAGCACGTGGACGTATTGAAATCCCCCCCGGGTGCGAAGCTTGAATGTCCATCAGGTCCATCGGTTCGGGAAAATTTCACGGACCCATGTGATCTTATGGCCGCCCCCCGATCCTCGAGGTTCTCCTCCGTGCACAGAAGGGGGGCGCCATGGGATTCAACTCCCGATACCATTCCCTCCTCCCCTCTCTCTTGCATGAGAGTGGAAAAAAGGGAACGGGTACGGGGGTGTGAAAGGGAGTTCACCATGGAGTCGAGGCTTCCAAGGAAGAGCGGATCCCGCCCGGGTGGTGCTCTCCCTTCATCGTGTTGATATCCGGCGAGGGGGGGAAGAATCAACCCCTTCGCGAGGTCGTCATGCACCTCGCGAATCGCTCGAATATCCGAGAGAATCGCACAGACGTGGCCACGCATTGCCGGTAAGACGGTACCCTCCCAACAACGCGAGCAGAGTGGAGTGAGAAAAGGGTGAAGAGAGGGAAAGGAGGAAAGAGGAGGGGTGGCGGTGAAACGTTGCGCCTGCAGAAGTGCGGCCTGCCCGCCGTGATGCGCAAGATGCCGAAAGAGGCGTCGATAAAGCGCCTCGACCTCCGCTTTGTCGAGGGGCCTCCGTGCAGGAAGAGACCCCTCGCCCTCTGCGAACGTTGGGTTTGGAGGGGAAGAAAATACCCCTCCTTTCGCCGGGGAGGATCCTGTGTTCGACAGGGGGCTCTCCGACCCCACACGGGAGGCGAGGCTGCTGTGAGGAGTGGCGGTATGCTCGCCGTTAGGAGCATCCGAAGAAACAGAAACGCTGCGAGCATCCTCCTCCACGATAAAAGAGGAGGGGGAAGGGAGGGATCGGAGAGGGCTGCGCAGCGTCATCCCGGGGATCACCCCTTCCTTTTGACAGGCCTCATCGAGCAACGCAAAAACGCGACGTTGCCGCGAAGGTGGAGAGGAAGAGGGAAAGGCATCGTGTGTGGCCTCGCCACTGTGGATTCTGGTGGAGTGGGCGGCCATCCCCGTCAAATTTAACGGATCGGCGTAAATCGGATTCGAAAGTGGAGGCTTCGGGGAATTGTGTTCGCCTGGAAGGGTCCCTGAGGCTGGGGAGGATGTCGGCAGGTGTTTCGGCACCAATCTCTGGATCCGGCCTTGTGTGTGCGTGAAGAGGCCGGGCAGCCGCGAAACCAACTCCAAACACAGATCCGCATCATACGATGACGTTTCGATACGTTTGCCAATGCAATTCTCTAAGTCAAATTCCTGGCCTTGGGTGTGCAATTTCTCACAGGCTGGATCTCCCGCATCCTGATCCGATGTCCCCCAAACAGGTTTGGTCGTCAAATGCTTCAATGCGGATCCATCAGACGGAGGTTGACGCGTATCTTCGGTGGATTTCCACGTCCTATGGAGTGGGGCTTCGCCCAAACAGGAGCTGCTTCCCTTTTCGGACTGGATACGACACCCACCACCGATGGCGATCCCCTGCGCACCTTGCCTGGTGAGATCTGGAGAGCCCCCTTGCAAGTTGTTATTCATTGAAAACGAGGAAGGGGAAGGCATCACCTGGGCTCTTCCGTAAGAAGCGAGCACCCCAGATAAGACGGAGGCATGGCAACAGGATTCCTCATCCGTCGCCGTAAAGGATCCCCGGCAGCGAGAACATGTCAACATCAAGACGGTATTCGCGTGCTGAGGTGCTTTGGATTGGAAGTTTCGGCTGTTCTGGTCACTCCTCGGCGAGACCTGTGGTGAGGCTTTCATTGGATCGTTAGGTATCTTAACTGAGCTAACGCTGAAGAGAAACTACGAAGCCCTCAACCTTTTGTTGTGACGTTCAAAAGGATAATAAAGTAAGAATGAATGATCTCCTCGCATCAGGTTAGTAGAATGAGTCCTCATTCTAATGTTTCGTTATATTTCATGTCTAGAGATTTATCATTTCGTTGTTACTATTTTCAACGACATTGCTATGCAAAATGAGAAATCGTTTGAATAAATAACAGGATAGTAGATATCAATAGGGGGGAAGGAAGGAAAGAATTAATATACGTAGGTACATTGTAGCTTCGCGAAGCATTACTAACCTCATCAATGTAGGTGAAAAAACAAAACCAACATTTGTGCGCTTGCGAAGGCATACAAGACCACAGAAAACACCGAAGAAATGTAAAGAAGACATTGTTCGCCACACTTAGATGGATGACATCCCCTTTCATGTGAGATGCAGGATCAACGAGCCGCCTTTCAATAGAGAAAATGCGTGATGATCTTGGAATTTATTTTTTCCTTCCCTCCCCTCCCCCCCATTTCTCACCGAAAAAAAAACACTGGGGATCACGACGCGTGTATTCGTTATTTGAGATCACTCCTGTTCGTTTGATCTGTGTTGCCTACCGGAGCGGTTAAGGTTTGTTGTTGACGACGAATTGCTTGGGGAACATAAAGCTCTAACGAGATCGACGAAGACGCGGTAGGGCGCTCCATTCCTAAAGTGTTGGAGTCCATTTCTTTGAAAGCACCCATTCTGTGCATCACCTCGTTCAACGAAGATGGAAGGGGTGGGGGAGACTGCAAATGCAGGTCGGGGGAGGGGATACGAAGCAGCTGATTCAGGTACACCGCCCCTCTTGTTGGCTGAAGAGGAGCGAGGGTAGCGGAACGAACGAGCGGGGATACCACTGATGCGTTCTCCACGAGCGCATCATTGTCGACGTGCGCGTTATTGACAAGCGTTGGATGGGTGGATGCCGGAGAGGGTGACCCTCGCCTTCCTCGCTGAGGGGTGGAGAAACACTCAGAGGAGGAGGAGGCGACCGAGGAGCGGAAGGGCACCGACGAGGGCGGGCACTCCACGCTAAAATCACCGCCTGGAAAGGGATTTCCCACCTTGCCAGGCCGCATCCCTCGCTCCGGGGGAACGCGATTATCGGGGGTGGAATATTGCCATTCAAGCGATGGCGGTTTCGGATCGGCAGGAGGCGTCTGGCAGGATTCGCGCATCGAAACCCCCTCCTGGGCGTTCACGAACGGGGAGGTGGTCTTTGCGAGATCCTGCGCGGGTCGATCCGCGTGGAGGGGATTTCCGTTTTCATGCCCCCCTATCGCCGCGGTGATCTCGGCAAGAGTCGTCGACGCCGCATGCGGGGAGCCCTCCCCTGGAGGGGGATCCCACCGCCCCCGTTCCCTCAGGGGATCCGAAACGCCCTGGGGGGGGCGACCACGACCCGTCAAAAAGCTGAGCTCCAGGTTGAGCGAACGAATTTCATTCCGCAGCTGATGGATCGTCGCCAGATGCACAAACTGTTGTTGTTGGTAGCGGGAAACCTTCGCCTCGGCCTGCCGGCGTTCCTCCGAGGCCTGCTGCC